CAAAAGCTAACAGCTTCTCGTGTGAGCTGGTAGCTTTTCTCTACTATTGTAAGGATAAAATATGGTGTTGTTCAGGCCAATCTAGGGTTATCTGGGATTCTCTCTCATATGACCCGGACAATAGTATGTTTTATCCTTACAATAGGACTGTATCAAAATGGGGTATTGGTCAAGTTGGCCACCCCCATATAAAAATCGAAAAAGATTTTTGCTGTTTTTTCTCATGATAGTAGCAGACTTTTCTCTGATTGCATATCTCCTCAAGAATGTTTTGTACGAAGATTGGTTGGAAAGTTTAATCATCTTTTCGTTGTTGTTGATGTTTTGTTTTAATATAAACAGTTTCTTATTCTAGGTGAGATCGAGTGCTCAAGCGCAGCCAAGGCGGAAAGTGCGAACTCCGGGACACCATGGGATTGAAATTCACTATTTCCCTCTTGAGCACAGCGCATATTACAAAATATTCACTTTATATAGAGCTCACCCAGGTCAAAAAATCAGACAGTAAGTTTTGTGCGATCATATGAAATCATACAAAAAATCGTAGTCTCTGAAATCTTACATCAATTCTCACTGTAAGATTCCTGTAAGATCTGGCAAGACAGTAAGATTCCTGTAAGATCTGGCAAGACAATAAGATCTGTCAAGAATCTTACAATAAGAATTGATGTAAGATTTCAGAGACTACGATTTTTTTGAACGATTCATACCAAATCGTACAAGATCATATATGATCAGACGCAGAATCTTGTCCAATCTTAGTGTCCGATTGTTCGCCTGGGCATCGGATTAGGATCCGAACAGTTCAGTTATAGTTCCAATCTGATCTGCTCGAACAGCTCTTGTGGTAGGATCTGAACTGTTTGAATAGATCAGTTCTTAGAACTAATCGGTCCGAAAAACCTTTGTCCCGTTTTTGGGAATGGCACTTTTGGGTATAAAAACCTTTGTTCTGTTTTTGGGAATGGCAATTCTGGGTATACAAAAATTTGTTCTGTTTTTTGGGGTATAGTATTTCCGAAAGCAAAATACAAGTTTTTCGGGCAACAGTTCCTTAAATTGATCTGATCTGTTCGAACAGTTCATATAATAGGATCTGATTTGTTCGACCAGTTCTTTCGATCATTTTATCTGAACTTATGATCTGGAACTGTATGAGCCCTAGTCATAACTTAATTCTTATAAGATCATCATCGAGATTGCTCGAGAAATGTTTAGAGTGTATTCCGGAGCGAGTATCAGCTGCAAATTCGAAAACTTCATTGAGTATCAAGAGTACGATTCAGGACCGAATCCAGGTCTAAAAAAATGTTCAATAAGTCATATGCGGGACAAAAAATTTTAGACCCGACGGACTCTAGCTGTATGTGGCGTCACCAGCAACAATAATAAATCTAATATGGTAACGTAATGTAACACCGTTATGGATCAGCCATAACTATACACCGTTGCTATATTCTGACTAGTCGTATTTCTTTAGTTTACATTTTAAAAATACCTGTTTCTTATCGATTGTACTATCTATATTTACTATGATATTGTATGATTGTAAAATTCACAAAAGCTATAGGCAACACAGAATATAGTAAACGATAGAAGTCACATTTAAAAACAACATTGGCATACAACAGTTATAATTTTGATCGAACTGTAACTTACTGTTCAATTCTCAGAAAAAAATATATACATAAAAAAATTAGAAATTACTGAACATAATACAAAATCCATTAATTTTCATATAAAAATTTGCTCGGAAGAAATAAAATTACATGTATGTAAAAAAGAAAAAGACCAAAAGCGAATATTAAAAAAAATTCGTGCGATTTGATTGTGAAGAAATATCTGGTTTCATACGTTTGACATATACTTTTATTCACATGCAACATTTCAGACTTATTGACGTTAGACAAAAGAAAATAATAAAATTACTCCATTACAAAAATATTCAAAAACTTTTCTTTTTATTAGAACAAGACACTTGTTATAAAAGATGTAGTCTATTAAAAAGAAAACAATTTTAACGTTACAAAAGGATAACTAACAAAACACAAGCATATTGAGGATGAATTGTAACGAACAACGAAACATTAGCGAAAATAATTAGAAAAGAAAAGTGATCGATCAATATGAAAAGAAATATCTACAAAAAAAAAGATCACAACCTACTCTGTCTGAAACGATTTCAAATCAAGTTGAAGAATAGAAAATTATCTGTGAATTTGGTTTAGAAAAAGATATTAACATTTATCTTATCAGTATGAAAATTAATTATCATACAAATTAGCTCAAAATAGATAAAATGAAAAGAAAAAAAATCATGACTAGAAATGAACATTTTAAGATCAGTTCAGAGATTAAAACGTCTTTTCATTGAACGAAAGAAATCATAATGTGAGATGACACGAGTCGAGTTTTCCCATGACATGATTCTTTTTTTCATTTCATATCATGAGTCATGTATTTGTGTCTGTGTATCTATCAACTCAATTCTAATAATCGCTATTATTGAACAATTTAACAGCGAACAAGATTCAATATGCGTATTGATTGACTGACACCAAGAGTTAAAAGATTAATCAATACATAAGACAAAAGAGAATCGAAAACACGATATATTTATTTTAAAATTAAAGATGTAGGATTATTTAGGAGAAATGTAATGAAAATATTGAAGTTCATCCGAAATCATATTTAATATTTTGGTGAAACTGGATGAATATTTGATTTTGAGTTATTTCAGACCAAAAAAATTTCATACAAAAATAGAATTGATAAAAAAAGAAAAAACGTCTTAATAATGCAAAAAATATTCAGCAAGAACATCTCTGTTTTAAGAATATTGATAAAGATAATCAAATTTAGACGTAAAATTGATACTTGTTTTCTATTTTAGATCAATATATTCAGTAATATTGAATTATATAGAATCGAAAAAAAACAAGCAAACAATTATTGTTCTTATATTTATATTGTACGTTCTTTTTCCTCATGCTCGCTAACTCATATATATATTTTCTCTCTCTTTTCTTTGCGTCAAAAATTGAAATGTATATAGAGCTATGCGAGCATCAACACGACAAAAAAAAGAAAATAATCACTTTTCCATTTTATATTAGATGGACAGTCGTTTTTCATTTCACTGTATTGACCGAATGGAAATTTTTTTTTTGTCGAATCTATATGACTTGTACGAGAAAGAAACGAATATGCTTGTTTTTTTTCTCTACCATATATTGACGAACAAGTACAATAGCACTTGAATATTATACAATATAATACACTCTGGAATGGTTTGTATTGTTTTATTATATTTTTCGACATTTTATTTATGATTGAGATAGAAGATTTATGCAAATAAAGAACAGGAAATTGTGTCTTTCCTCTGTGTATAATTAAACTGATCATTCGTGACTTACATCATTTTTAGTCCTAAATTTTTCACGTTAATTTTAAATCAAAATCTACCATAATCGAACTCAAAAACTAAATCATCGTTTGTTTTTACGAAAGAAAGTAATTAATTTTTTTAATTTTTATTAACATCATCATTGAACTGACGAATTGTAGAATATACATTGATTTTAATTAAACAAAATGATGTTATGAAATACAAAATGCGATGAGTATTTCAATTTAAAGCAAGAAATTCAAATCTCTCTCATAAGACAACACATCTCTCGACAGATTCTTCTTACAGATCGGTCTATTATACACATGTCTGTTGCTCTTTATCAGTAGTTTCATGTTTTTTTGTTAGACTTAAGTTTACAACATTATATTTTGACAGTGCTTTCATCTTGATGTTTTTGAATAGTAATGAAACTATTATCAGTTTATACTTATTAGCAACATGATCTTTAATTAAAGAATGAAAATGTCATTTTCTTCTCATTAATAAATAAATGAAGAGCAAAAAAAGAACTTTTCTTAAATAAGTGTAGTAGAAATTAATACTAATATATTCAATTTTGTAGATGCAAGACTAATATTAAATTCGGAAATATTATTTATTTTCGTTCTATTTTTGCAAAAAGAAAAAAAAGAACTTGAAATTTTTCATAACAGATTTTGATGAATAATAGATTCAATCATTGTGAAGAATTTATATGGTCAAGATAAAAGTAAAAAAATTTTTATTTTGTGATATAATATTTAAAATATTTCAATTCATCATTCTAGGAACTTTTTTCATCAAATGCACAATCTTTCCCAGAGTAAATGTCTCTAATAAAGAACCAAAATTAGTGACTTATGTTCTTTAATTAAGTACATAGTTTTTCTACATTGAATAGCAAAATTTTTCTAAAAGTAAAATCTTTAAAATGTGCTTCTTCAAGTATGACGAAGTTGAATTGTATATTCTCTCATTATTTTCTATTCCTAGTGATAGAGTTCAATGATTTGTTATCATGTCATATTAGCAAGAAAATGTGAACTTGGCTGCATTTTCTGACATATTAGCCTTAAGCCACTGATAATATCTTTAGTACAACATGTATTAGAAAAAAAGGTAGTATTTTTTGTTTTCTATCTACAACGTACAGTGTAGACTAACGATGATTCTAACAACATAAGTTATTAATTCCTCCCTTTTAATAGGAACATTTTCTCTTTCAAATGTTTTTAAAACGAAAATTTTCTTTTTTTTAATAGAATAATACTGTATTAATAAAGTTATAAGATTGAAAATGTGGATTTTTGTATATTTGTATAATGTTGACATAAATAAAAAAAAAAAGTGATATGCTCATTTCCCAAACGTTTCATTGAAATCTGAAGATCTTGATGGGTTTTTATTTTAAAGAAATGATTTTCCAATTTAAGTAAAAACTGTTTCAATACTAATTAGTAATATTCATGGAGTGTTGAAAAATGGATATAATCTTTTTGTTGTTTTCATTTCTTGACTTAAATCATTCTATTGATATTCAATAGTGATGAAATTTGAAAAAAATAAAACGTATAATCTATCTTTCTTTTTAGATAAAATAATAAATAGAATGGAAATACTACCAAATGAAATTCTTCTTGATATATTTTCTTATCTTGAATGGTTCGATACGTTAACGTGTTTTTGGTCATTAAATATGCGTTTCAATTCTCTTGTGTGTTTAGCTCTTTCAACAAATGATAATTTATTAAATCCTGGTCTTTTTATTAAACAAGGTTTATCTTATAATAAATTTTCTTCAATATTATTTCCATTGATTTTAAATTCATCATCTCTTTGTTCGTCTATTCAACGTATTTATTTTGATGGAACAAACTCAATAACTTGTGATCTTATTTATGAATTATTGTTTAATGATAAAAAAATTCTTCGTTTTCCTAATCTTAAATCACTTGTTCTCACTCGATGTGGATCAATTGAAGGAATAGTTGAAAATTTATCTTATCTTATTGAACATCAATTAGATGAACTTACATTAACATTTGATGAGCACGTATTCAACCGATTTTATTATATAAAAAAACATTTATCAATGGTTTCTGATAAAGGTAATCAATCATTTATTTGATAGATTCTGTAAAATAAGATAGGATTATTTATCTTGAAAAAATCATTCTCAACTGAGATCATTTACATCCTATAGAAATTCTTTCACTGGAAGAAAGAGGAGTATTTAAGGTGTCAGATAATAAGACCTATTTTCGAGAAAACTTTTAGATGAAAAATCTATATTTGATAATTGTTGACAACTACTATTACTGAGTGAAAATCTAATAAAATGATCACATAGCTATAGAACACTGGAATATGGTCGCGAATCAACCTAGGCTTCCCTCTTGCCACAATACATCTTATTCAATAAGATAAATATCAGTTTAAAATTGATTTTGTCACATCATGAGATTGCCTCATAAGATATAGATAAGTAATAACATTCAATATTAATAATTCATTATTTTCTTGTTATGTAAAACAAACATTATAGATGTGAATAAGTAGTATGCTATTATGAATAAGTTTTAGTTCATTTGTCAATTATCTTAAATATGTTCCAATCATTTATTTATTAAAACATTAACCAACTGTTATAACAGAAATCTAGTAATTATTATTCTGTTTTTCTTTTCAATATTTGATATTTTGATCAATGAGAAAAATAATAAGATTTTGTAAATATGAGTTTTATATTATTAAATCTAAAATTAAAAAGAATTTTTCATAGAAAAATAAATATTTTCTCTCTTTTATTTTTCTTTGATAAATAATAGAAAAACAATTAAACATGATCAAACAATTTCTTTGTCAATTATTCTCAAGACAATGTCAATTAAAATCTCTTCGACTTGATATTAGCTATGGATTTATTGATGGTGCTATTCATCGATATTTACCATCAAACTCTTATCACTCTTCCAATCTTATTCAATATCAACTTCAATCTTATTGTATGACTCTTCGTCGTTTTCATATTCGACTAAATCACATATGTTTTTTTGAAAATCTTATTGAATATGTACCAAATCTTGAAGAAATAACAGTTGAGTTTGATCAAACAATGACTTCATATGTATTAAACACAACAAACATTGAAAGATGGAGTCAATCAAATCAAAATTGGCTTTATAAAGTAAGAAAAAACAAAGAATAATCGTCTTCAATGAATTTATTAATATATTTGTTTGTTTCGATTAATAAAACAAAAAAATAATTGTATCCTTTTAGCTACCAAAACTACGATGTTTTAGTTTAAAAACTTTCATTAACAATGATTCGGATATTATTTATTTGAAATGGCTTCTTAATAATATGAATTATATTGAAAAACTTCAACTTCATCTTAGAAGTGATAAACTAATCGAAACAAAATGTCAAAATATATTAAAATCTTTTATTGATGCAAATTTTATTCGTCAATATTGTTTACCTGATATAATACCTAATTTGATTTATTTCAATTTTTATATTTATTCACAATGTCAATTATCATTTAATGATATAGAAAGAATAACTAATTCATTTAAAATTCATTCTTTTTTTATCGAACATCAATGGACAAATGTTAAATGTTTGTTTGATCCAATAGTGTCATGTCAACATCTTTTCTCTTTTTTCACTAATACATCTCAAATATCCGATAATCTTATGTAAGATATTTATTTTTATGAAAATTCTGACAACTTTTCGATTTACTTATATTTTTTTCCTTTTAGTTATTATTCATATATATTTTTGTGAAACACGATCTAAAAGGAGTGTTGAAGTATATAAGGTAGAAATTTGGACCCACCCCCCAGTCCCCCTCTCCCCCCACAGACCGTGACCGACATGCTTAGCAACGACACGTCACAGACATAACAGACACGCTGAAAATGGCTTATCACAGACGTGACAGATGTGCATAGCAACGGTCTGTCACAGACGTAACAGAAATCACAGACACAATAGTAACTGTTACTTTTCCGTTACAGAACGTTAAGAACATAGTATCAAAGTCCGAAGCAGACATTGAATCTGAGAAAGTATAGATAGAACATTTTTAGCTAATATTTGTAAACTGGATTTTAGCATTATAAAAAAATGCAGGAACAGGTTTAGAGTTAATGCGTTTCGAGTTCCGTATATAATGAAACTACTTAGTTTTCGAAGTTTTCAATAGAGTGATATGTAAAATTTATACATATCGCTGAGTCTTTGCATTTTCAATATAGCAGGGTCTATCGTGTTTCACATTTTTAATCCTGAAGGGATTGCGCTAACAGCTTTTTTCATTTTAGTAATTATTCATATATCTTCAATTGGCCAGATACTATCAACACTTGGTTTAAAATATATCCATCACTTTATTTATTTCTCGAACGATTCAATGAATTGTCACCTAATATTTCTTGTATCAAAGTATACAGAGGTAAATTGCTTTGCCATTTCAATCATTCTCATAAGAGATTTTCCACCAGACCGTCGAGAATCGTTGGAACATGGTCGAAAACAATATACACTCTTTTTTTATCTCATTCAATTCTTTGAATAAAACTGAGATTATGAAAATTTTTTTAGACTCTCATGAGTTTATTTGATGGAGCTATGGGCATGGGAACATCAGGGGTTTGAGAAACCACAAAATAAATGCTTTTCGATATTTCATCTATAACTTAATCAATTTTCATCTGTTTTTTTTTCGAGTAACGTCTTATTCGAAAGAATTCAAAAACCTGAAGAAAAACGTCTCTTACTAGATTTTCTAAAAGTGGAGTCTTCATAGGAAAAAATGAGTTTTTGAAAAAGTTCAGATTTTTTAGACGCAAACTTTTTCATTCTAGATCATTTTTGGAGGCTTCAAAGGCCGAATAGGAAAATCTAAAACAATGAATCTCGCAGAGAATCCCACGTTGTACAAAACCGATATAAAAAATTTGAGAAAAAAGTTTGAGGTCAGGTCGAGATTTTGGAAACAAAGGAAAGAGGTAGCATATCAGTCTCATGTCTACGTATAAGAAAAGCGAAAAAAAGTCGATCATTTAACCATTAGATATTGATTTTCAAGCAAAATCCATGTCATATTTGGTATCGACATAAAAAACTGATTCCGATAAGATAGGTTTTGTTAAAAAATAATTTTCAGATCAAAACTCATCCCTACGACTCTTCAGTTTCTTTGTTTATCAAATTTTTGTCTGAAATATCCCTCAGGTGAGTTTTGGTTGGAAAATTATTTTTAACAAAATTTGAAGTGTGTTCAAATTTCCAAGAACGGAAATTACGAAAATTTCTACAATTGCTAAGAACATGGAAATTCACGGAAAAGTATTTTTGAAGATTTGGGAGGTTGTAGAAATTTTGAAAATTTCAAAAATTACGGAAATGTCTGGAATCATCCAATTGGTCGCAGTAACGGAGCCGTCGGAGGCATCACTTTCAAAATTTACGTAATTTCTTTTTTTTTTTGGAAGTTTGAATATTGCTGATAATTCTTAAAAAATATAAAGTGTTAGTTTTTATTCAAAGAATTATACAAAAAGAGAGATTTCTCATGAATATTCATCTACTTTCTAAATGAATTTAATATAAAAATAGTAAAACAATATTTTGAAAAGTATTTAAAAGATTTCTATTTTTGTTTTAGAACGTCACAAAGATTTTAACGAGTCAGATCTATTGATTTCATTGAGCATCTTATCCAAAATGAGGCAATACAAGGGAATCAATATTCCTTTTCGAAATGTCACGAAAATTCAATTTGGAACGCATTTTTATCGACACAACGGTTTGTACTATATTTGATTTTTTTCGAAGATTTGGAGAAATAGTTTACTCTTCATTTATAGCTAAAAGAAAACATTATCACGACCTTTTTTTATGCTTTAAGTTTCACATACAACTATTCTTCTTCTAGTCAGTAGAACGAAATGGACTTTATTTTTTGTATATTACAGATTTAATATTTCATAATTATATCGAAGCTTTAGACATAAATTTTGTAATTATTAATGCTGAGAAGAATTTAATTAGTCATGAGAAAAACTTGATTTATAGAAAGCGTAACTTAGTAATATCGAGTTTAACAATATACTTTTTAGAAAATAAATGAATGGTCTCAATCAATGTAGGATTCAATTCTCTATCAGGACACTTGTTGTTTCATCAGAACACCTTTCTTCGTGAATATCTTCATATCTGACTTCTAAAGATCTTTTATATAGAGGTTTTGGATTTTATTGAACAATTTAATAACTTTTTTTGAAATAAACAAAGAGTGCCAATTTGTATATAGAATTTAATTCTGTATGAGGAACACATATTTATTTGACAAGGACATCTTTCTTTGAGAATGTTTGAGTGTCTAATTTGTGAAGATCTCTATTATAGAGGTTTTTGATTTTTTTCAAGATTTTGATTATTTTCCGAGAAAAAAACGAAGCACACTGTTGGACATATCGATTAGAATAAGTGTATTTCATTGCTACATAAATATTCTAATAATAATAAGGGAGAATCTGAATTTTTTTCTAGATAATTTTACAAGTAAATTAATAGAGCGAAACCAAATACGTGAAAAAGTATTCGCTCATCTCATTTCAATGACTGAACAACTGAAATACCTTCAAGTTGAACGATTCGAATGGCTTTTACATATTGTTCAACACGTAAGACATTCTTTTATTTATGAATTAAGTATATATCCGCGAATATATCCTTGTTAAACATAATTCATTTAAATATGTTCGATCGAATGAATTGAATGGTGAAATTTTTATTTTAATAATGAGTAAGCACTTTAGAGGTATTAGAAAAAGATGGTTTTCATTAGCACTTGTCGTTATGTATTTATCGTGATCAAAGATTATTGGGGACATATAAAGAGATCAACTGTTTTTTTACTCGTACTACTTTAAAGCATTTACATTGATTTGCTATATCAACTCTAATTGAACAGTATAATCTATTATTGTTTTTTTTTTTGTTGTTTTCTATTTAGATACCGGACGAACTAAGAATGAACGCATTAAGTACTGTTCGATATGCTGAATTTGGTCTTCCGAGTTGTCATAAGGGTAGAGGCGACGTAGCTCATATTGGTAAATATCTTGTGTCTTTTCTTAACACATATATGCCACATTTACAAACATTACGTCTTTGGCGACCAGACGATTTTCCTTGGACAACTAGTAAGTTCATTTTAAACAAACAAAATTAGTCAAAACAAAGTCTTTTACTAATCTACAATAAATATAATTCTGTTTTTTTTTGTTTTCTTGATTAGAAATCATATTTTGTTATTTGTTACTCAAAAAGTTGCTTTTACAACGATGCATAGTTCAACTTGATTGAAAACTTTTCTTTTTTTTGTATCGGTTTCATTCACGTTCTATTTTCTCTCACTGAACAAGTTTTTGTAACTATGTGACATTAACTCGATAGTTGAGAATTAATATGGAACATTTGTAAACGTTAATTTTATCTTCGAATTCTCTAAATCATAGACATCATAGTTTTAGAGTGAATTAATTTCTTCAGTATGTGACTAATTTTGATGACAGACATTCTATATTATTCGTCATCATAGATCAATTACAGAAATATCGAACAACCAGTTATATTGAATACAGTCACGAAGGTTTGAATTAGAAAATTTTCTATAGAAATATTTCTCTAATTTGTTTCTTTAAGCTTGCCTCTTTAAAATAGAAATCCTATTTAGAAAGATCCGTTTCGATTAGAGTCCATCGGGTCCAAGAATTTCTGGACCCGGACCCGCCTAAATAAAATTTTTCCAAACTCGGACCCAGACCCAGATCCGGCTAAGTAAATGTTTTTAGATCCTGACCCGATCTATTCAATTTTTTAATCTTTATAAATTCGAATTCGAATTGTTCTATTAGAGTTTTAATTATCGACTCTAATCACAAGCTAATAAGTGATGTATATCTTACTCTGTTCGAGCTTTGTTATTTCTTTCGATTCAGACTTATTAGTAAAAAATTTTCAGACCCGGACCCGAACCCGATTATTAAAAAATTATAGATCCGTATCCGATTATTAGAAAATTTTAGACACGGACCCGGACCCGACGATCTCTAGTTTCGACTGAAAATTTCACAGATAGATAGTCCTAACGAGGAGCTCTTTTGGTGAAAATTTTGGCACGATACTAACAGAATGATTTGAAATTAAAGGCAACGCTTGTGTACATCTTTTGTCTGAACAGAATATTGATATTCGCTTCCGTTGATTTTTTATAACTATTTTAGTGAGCTTGAAATTAAATTAAACCGAAAAAAGTCTACCACACGACACTACTGTAGATCTCACTTTTCCCATCCCAAAAATCAACTATAAAAAAATCTGTTCGGACAAAAGTTTATTTTTATTTAAGATTTTAAAAACGAAAAAAAGATATCGGTTACATTCGAAATTCTGAGGAAGGCGTTTCAGTTTTTGCAGTTGAAAATTATGTTTTGAGAAAAACGGTAAATAAGTTTCGAAAAATTTTCTTAAATTGAAAATGTTTACATTTCTGTGAAATACACATGACTTATATATTTGATGTTGATAATCAATTATATATATAAAGTCGGCTACTGCACTTCATGCAGTCAGCTGCTTTAAAGACAAATCGTGATGAACCACAATAAAGATGGTCACTCATTAAAAATACTTATTTATTTCTTTAATAGTATTTGTAATTGCTGTGTGTTGTCATAAGAAAAAACTAAAAAAAAAATTAAGAGAAGTTTTATTTTAAAACATCAATCAAATTCATATTATTTTCAGAATTTATTAATCACAAAGTAGTGATCAAGAGAAAACTTTAACAATAAAAGTTTCTCTCATATCAATATATCTTTTTTCTTTCACCGAATTGAGCAAACAAAAAAAAGTGAACCACGAAAGAACAATTTCTTTTCTCAAAAATCTACTTCCAATATATTTGAGAAAGTTCAATGTTCATTCGACTTTTCTGAAACATGATCTTTAAAGGAGTCTGAATTTCCACTTTTATAGTATGCGCAACTCCATCGTATTTCACATTTTAATCCCACAGGGATTGTGCGACACAGCTTTTTATTAAAGAAGTAAACCAGTTACAAAAGGTGTTCAATCGAAAAAACCTATCAAAGAATTATCTTTAAAAAGAAACGTAGATTAAGAAAAATCCCTCGAAATGTTCTATTCTGTTTAATAAACAAAGAGAAAACTATAGTTAACTCGAACTTTCATATATTTTAGGAATTCATATTGTTTCATTATCTTGTTTTCTTTATTTAAGTTCGACCAGATTATAAAAAAGGATATTATGGTGAGGTTTCAATTCTACAATGGCTGAAGTCTCTAAAAACACCCAAATCGATTGGTATGTACATACAAATACAACGATTAAATACGAAAAGCTAAATTAATCATATAATTCTTTGTTTTAGCTAAACATGTGGCTATTTTTGAAAAAGATCTTTGTCAATTGGTCGAAAAATTAAAAGAATTTACCTTTCTCGATATTTATGGTGAAATTCATTATGAAAAAGTTGAACCTTATCGTTTAATGGTTCAATCTTGCTTTCCTAATAGTCGAATAGATGTTGAAATATCAAGATTTCGTCTTTGGCTTTAATTTTCTGTTTATTATGTATAACATATGTGTGTTAAAAACAATTGTCGTAGTTAACGAGTTATTTTTTCTTTTTGTTTCTCTTTAATGTTATAAACTGTAAAATACTTATATTCAATAGTGAAATATTGATATTGTTCTTCAAATAATATCTGTTTGTTGTCTGGAGAATTCTAATGATATAACTGGAAGGAGACTTAGAAGAAATTCAACTTATCATTAATATGTTCGAACTCCTCTCGAAAATGTTGAAACTAATGTCGGTGCAGATGTAAGTATCTTTGAAGGAGGTTTCAAACAGATTGAACCTTTTCACGTTCACTGTGAAAAGAAAAAGGCGTCTAAAGAGAAATTCTTCTAATTATTTCAGCTATCAACTTTATATTTTATTTACATGTAGATAACATTTAGTATTGACTATCAATGCTCTTTTCCTCTCTCTTACTTGAAAATTTTCTGAAAAATTAAGTTTTCGACTTTCAAAAAGCTGACTGCAAATTAGAACAATAAAAAGCAGTTATTTCATTATAATCTCTTTCGAACAACAACGAAACAAAAAAATTTTTTAATATAATTGATACAATTATTAACTATAGAAACATTTCCTATTGTTTGTTATCCAATAATCTATTTCGATGTTGAATGAATATTTTATTCGAATCAAATAATTTGATTCGAATTTCTCAACGACATTTTCAAAAACTACATAAATATCAATTATTTCATCAAATACAAGGACAAATGGATATTTTATCTAATAATGGTAAAGAAGAAAAACAATCATATCAACAAATAAAAGAACACCTTCAAAAAACAATAGATTAAGCATTTTCAAATAATAATCAATATTTTTTTGCTAAAAGATCATCACATAGTGCAAAGTATGGATGTATATTTAAATGCGATTTTCCTGATGTATAAAATAAATAAATATATATATATAGGGTTGCGAAAAATGTTTTGCTAGGGGGTATAGCTGCAATGGCAAATAATATCAATATTGAATTTTATACCAAATGAAAGCTCGTGAAAAATGGAATCTAGGAGTATGACTGACCGTTCAAAAGATTATAATGGACTATAGAAATACTAAAAGCTTCAAATTTTGAAGACATAGTTGGACACTTTCATAGGTAATCCACCACTAAAACATAAAGTTCTCATGGAATGTTTCCGCCTTTTAGGCTTTGTAGAGCCCTCTTCGCTGATCATTTTGATAAAAAAATTTTTGAAATTTGATCACTAAATAATGATGCTAGAGTCAAAATACTCATAAATATCTTAGCTCTATCAGCCACAGCA